TTTTTTTTTTTTTTTTTTTTTTTTTTTTAATTGATAATCCATTATCAAGAAGATGATTAATAAAATTTTTAATATTTTGTACCTAGCGTATAGAACTCTAAAAGTGTTTAATGACCGTTTACTGGTCTCCCGGTCTTTTTTCCTTTTTTTTTTTTCTAATTATTTTTAATAACAACATACAACTCTATATACTGTAATATTATATTATTACGTTTAATTTCGTTATTATTATTATTACTTTTTTTTTTTTTTTAATATTAAAGACAAAAATTAAATTATGTACGCGTCATTCGATAGAGATTTGTCTTGTTTTTTTTTTATTTTATTTAATCTTGATATAAACATAAAAGGACTTTTCGTATATGATAATAATATTATAATAATTTTTTTTTTTTTTATGTAATTTTGTTCATTACGATCTTTTTTTTTTTGAAAAAAAAAAAATAAAAAACGAAAACTATTATGTTATGTACGTATATGAAAAAATAAAATCGTTTGTCGTTTTTAATCGCGCGTTTCTTCGATCACGGACCTTAATTTATTACCTATACCTATTGAAACCCAATCGTAAACAACCGCTGGTGGCGCGCCCTGGAACGGACCCAGTGAAGAACGCAATCGTCAATAAACCGTAAAATCGTCTTCTCTCTGTCTGTTTTTTAGAATCCGGTTTTTAAATCGCCGCGATTCCCATCGTCGAATTGGGTGGAGAACTCGATTTTACGGTTTATTCGCGGTTCTTGTTCGTGTTGAATTCGTTTCGTAACCGTACACAGCTTGTGCCGTCCGCCCGTCGGATATCATTTCGAGTCGTGTACGGGTCGTCTAAGCGCCGGTGTCTGAGGCAATCGGTCGACCGGATGGACGAAAGAAAAACCCGCGCGGACGCGCGTAAATCCGGGCCCCGGGCGTGTTGTGTTACGGGTCTCGTCGAAACTCCGCGGACGGGGCCCCGGAGGAACGCGCGGTGTCACAGACGGCCGCCGCAGAGCGTACGGCGCGTGTATAGAGAGCGGCGCGAAGTGAAACGGAAAGTAAAAATTTATATCGAAAACCGCGAGCAATTAGTTTCGGAGAGCTGGGCGCCCCCCGACAATAATATCATCGTGCCGTTAATTAATTAGCGAATTCGTAACGTTCGCGGCGCGTCCCGTCTGCCGCGCCGCGCGCCGGTGGCGAGTTCGTTTAACCGTACGGTGCGTTTTGCCCGCACGTTCGCCCATGCGTACTGCACGCGGGTGTTGTACGCGCGCGATAATAATTCAAACGTGAAAATATCGTTTAATAGGCGCGGATTATTATTTCTGGATTTTTTTTTTTTTTTTATTATTTTCTTTCTCTATATCTCGTTTGGTCGTTTTTTATTTCTGTTCGGAATAACGACCCGGATTCGGACGGCGAGAAACGGATCCGCACGTACGGGACAGTATGTCCGGAGGTGAACGATGCGGTGCGGCGCGCGCGGTACCTAAACGACGTCCGAGAAAAGAAAAAATGAAATTTTAAAAAAAAAAATGTTTTTAATCGCTCGTGCCGGTCGACCCGTATGGGATAAGCTTTCCCGGGATAACGGAGACGGGTACAGCCGCCGTTGCTGGCGATTGTATGCACGGGCGTGACCTTGCGCTTGCACCACCTTGAGTTTTTGCGGGGTGCGACCCTATCGTTTTGTACCCCCGCTAATCGAAAACCAAACCCCGATTTGTCGTGATAACCGCGTAGTGTTTTATTTCGCGTGCAGTTTGTTTTAATATGCGACCGGGCCGGGTTTCCGAACACGTCTCCAATCATGTTTCGTACAAGTGATACTCGCCGCTTATGCATGGACATTGTGATGCCGCGAAATAGATTAATGGTGATACTACGTGAATACGTGATCGCGAGAATTGTTGCTATACAATCAATAATCATTAGGGAACGGATTTATACGCACTTCGAAAACGGCAAAAAAGTATTTCAAAATATTGAAAAAAGTAAAAGTGGTACAGTGGTTTCAGTGCCACCTTTAATCGTTCTACTTTGGGGGAATTTCAAACCCCTCTAATCTTTATTGCTCTTTTTAATTTTTTTAAAGCTTTTTGACGTTTTTAAGCGCTTTTTATGGGTTATTTTTTAAATGCATATACATCCGTTCCTTAATGATCATGTATAGTCTTTTTGAGCCGTTTTACTTACGAGCGTTTTTATTAACATTTATTATTGAATACACTTCTTCTGGATTTTTTAAAATTTATTAGTTACTTTATAACTTAGGTACGTAAATGTCCGTTTTGCACCCCCTGAATTTTAGCGAATTACGTCTATGATTTAATATTTTAATGTATACCTGCGTAAAAAACGATAAACCATTGCTAAAGAAATAACGATTCTGAGCTGAGTTCAGTTGATAGTGATGTTTTTTCAACAGTATAATATCTTGTATAATGGTAAAATAATTAAATAGGCATTATATATTTTCTTCAATAATATTTGTTTAATATTGTACCGATTTTCCTACGTTTTTCCAGATTTTCCCAAGTTTTTTCCCGGTTTTTCACATTTGCTGGAAAACTTGGGAAAATCGAAAAATTACCTCCCTGAAAGTACCTTCCTAGTCGGATTTTCGTTCGGAAAAAGTTCTATCATTGTAAATCGAAACAAAATCGCTGGTATAAAAGTTGTCCACAAAAAAAAAAAACCATAATATTTTACCAATATATTTCGTACATTTTCCCATTTTTCCTCCGTTTTTTTTTTTCGGTTTTTCACATTTGACGATAAAACTCTTGGGGAAATCGATAAATGATCTCCCAAGATTTCTGATAGAAAAATTACGCACAGATGAAAAAAATAAACATCTTTGTAAATCCATGGGCTTTTTCGCTCCACTCAAAATCTAAAATACGGTTACTATATTGTGGATTTAGAAAAAAAATCTATTATAAATTAACCGTTTTCGAAATTTTGTATAGGATTTTAGATTCATTGGATCATTAACCAACCGATGACGCGCAAAGTGGATTGGATTTTTTAAAAATAATTATGCCCGAAGAAGCCATTGTATAGACTCATATAGACCCAATGCATAGACATTATTTATACGTAATTTATATCCGGTAGAGATACTATCTATGGATAGAATTGTTAGACTAAACAGAAATACTTGACAATTTGACTGCAGGAGGTTCATTATAAGTAGTATAAGTGGTCAAAAAAAAATAAAAATTTAGTGTAATGTAGTAATTGTTATTATTTTTTTTTTAATTTTAATATTAAATTTTGACGAAAATCGTAAATATGTATGACCTATCAAAACATACAGTATAGCCGAACTTCGCTCTGAATTATTTTTCGTTAGAAACGGTTTATGGTTGCTTACAGATAAAAATGAAATACCTTTATGTATCCTACCTTCCCGACTTCCCACCTACAACAATAACGCACCCGTCCCCAGTACAACATTTTTCCCGGGCATTTTGGTAGAAACCCGGGTGGACGTTTATATTTTATTTTTTTTTTCGTTCAATACTGACACGGGCACAGAACAGCTATAAAATAACAGCAGTAAAATGTTTACTTTTATTTTTTGTATTTGATATTCAATCAAAATATAATAGACTTATCATTATTTATGTATCAAGCTATGTTTACCTCACAACTAAACTGACCATAATGCATATGTATCAAGTAAAAAAGGCTATCCTAAGATAATGGGGACGGGTGCGGCCACTGTTATAGGTGAGGAGTTGGGAAATTAGTAGAGGGGAAATTTAATGTATATCTGTAAACAACGATAAACCATTGCTAACAAAAATGATTCTGAACAGAGTTTGATTAATATTGTTGCTTTGTCAACAATATATGTGTCATATTATAGTAAAATAATTACATATGCATTATTTATTTTCTTTAATAATATTTGTTTAATAAAGTACCTATTTCCCATGTTTTACTCCGGTTTATCCCATTTATTGGAAAAACTGGGAAAATCAAAAAATGACCTCCCAGTTAGATCTCATTTCAGAAAAAAACTACAGTTGAAAATCGGAGCAAAATTACTTGTAGAAAATTTGTCTACAGGATAAAAATTAAAAAGCAAATATAATATTTGGTCATTCTTAAGGGTTTCGCGGCGTCCCGGGACGTTGTTTGTTAACCGAGCGTCGTGTGACGGGGATGGAACTTTCGAACCGCGAACCTGCAGACTCAGCATAGGGCCGAAACGTACAGGATTTTTGTAGAAAAAAAAGGAACACAATATTAACGCACGTCGATAAACGTTAATTTATTAAAATAAAAAAAGAAAAAACAGTTATATTCTAGATATTATGTGTACAAAAATACAATCAATTAAAAACTATGTTATTTGAGACGAGTACCGGCCAATTGGGTTTTCATGTTATTTCAAAAACAAATAATACGCTGATCATGGCAGACGTTTTTATCCGGTCATCCTATCAACTGCCCTCGGGGACTAAGCCTTCGAGGTGACTCCTGGCTCGGCTACTCAGTCATAATAAATTTGACCACAGACATAAAAAAAAAAAAAAAAAATTACATATTACAACCGTGTAGATTTGGTCGTATACTCTTGACAACAGTAATACGGTAACTAAAAACTAATCGCACCGACGACCTACGCCCGTCCGGTTAGGTTATTCGCCGCACGCGTAATACCGGCAAGCGCCCGACCGTTAGTCACAGTTTTTATAATTTTTTAGTTAATTATTTTATCTACTTAACTCCTTTGAATATCCCAAACAAACCGTCATCTAAAGTTGAAGAAACTATAAATGCGGTCAATGAAAAGGCTACAATAGAAACAGAAAAAAAGGGAACTGCAGTTGTCAAACCAAAAACATCATCTTTCTAACAAAACTCGCCTTCTGCTTTATAATTCATTAATTTTAAACCTATTTCCTTTTTTCTTCTTTCTCTATTATTAGCGCCCTGAAACTAACAACTAAGCGTGATGGATATTTCTTTACTGTTAGTTTCAGGAAACTTGATAGTAAGTTTTTCTAAATTAAAAATATATTATTCATAAAATAAGACAGTCATAATTTATATATTATGATTCTAAGAGCTTTGTCCACCTACTTGAAATATTGCACTTAGTGCACACACCGAATGACAATAACGCGTGTTCTATCTCCAAAACATGTTCATGTTACCAGTGGCGTACCGATAGAGTGGCATGGCGGTCATTGAGCCACGGGTCCATGACATTTAAGGGCCTCAAATCAGGGCCCAAGGCATTATATTTCAGTGGGTGGATAGCTTGGTGGACAAAAAAACAGACGATGACCATTGTTTTGCTTATAATATGAGTGGATGGACTGAAACAGACTCCAAACTGTGTAAATTGGGACCTAACTCAAATCGTGGCGCAGGACTAGCAATTATTGGTGGTTTTTTGTTTTACTTATCAGCCTTTATAGGAATCGGAATCTATAAGCTTTTGCTAAAAGACTTAATTGTTGATAAAATATTTCGAATAAATATTGTATACCTACTGTATAATATATGGTGCGTTCGTGTAGCATGCTTAGACGCTTACGGCGCTTGTGCCAACGCTCACGCTTATAAACGGTTCGTTTAGACATATAGCTAAATAGCGCTGCTAGGTGGATCTCAAGACGAACGCAAATATAAACATATTGATTGTACGATCATCGAAGTTATCAGCAGTTAATTGTTATCAATAAGTACTATAATTATAATGACTAACGATATTATTTTAAAAATTGTTAAAATGTTAGTTACTTAAAACATTTTTATTCCTATACGTTTATATAAATCGTAGTCTAAACAGCCTGGTCGTATTCTACAAAGAATAACAATTGCTAGGTGAAATAATAATTAGGTGAAAATATAGACAAACAGTTACCACTGTTTCGGTGTATCTATTATCATTAGATTAGCATTTGAGCGTTTGCCGGCTTACCTCGACGGGATAAACGTTTGTGAACGCCGATCGACGACGTAGCACTCAGATTTAGTGACGTAATGGTTGTAGTCTGAGCGCTATCAAACGCCAAACCAAACGGTGCGGTGACGCTGATAACAAATTACAGTTAATATTATAGTATTAATGAACCGTGAACTATAGAGAAAAAGTTCATGTACTACAAATGCAATTAGAACTGTTGTTGCGATCATCACCATCGGATTATGATGCATATCGAGTTCTTTTTAAAAGAAATTCGATTTTTAAGATAAAAAATTGTATTGAAGTAGCATTTTATTTCGTAGTAGAACAATAAAGTAAATATTTCCACTATATTTCGTATACATAAACATATATATACTTAATACATTATTCACGTATACAATTCAAATTAATTTTAGTTCAAAAAATATTTCCAAATGAGTCTAGCCACTTCTGAAATATTAATAAACAAATTTCAAATGTTATCTTATTACTCTCATAATAAAAAAATCAATTATTTCAGCTAAGAATGTTAAGTTGCACGCATTGTCTTTTTTAAGATAAGCGAGCCGTACATTTGATTATATAAAATCGACGAATCCCAATAAAAGTGCTTTAGTTAATAATAAAACATTTTTTAAAATTGAATATAGATAAAAATTGTTCATAGGTAATTAAGAATATATGCTATTTTGATACAAATACATAGCCATATGTGACGTTGTTTAAATGAAAATTTATAAATGTATTTACATTATGCGTAGCAACCATACTATTATTATTATTAGTTGTTAAAACATATTTTCATAAATCAATAACTGAAAAAAATATTTATTTTTATTCATTCGTATTATTTTCCATTCGATTCCGTAAACAAAAAATATAAACGCATTAGTAAGAGTATCGCGATCAAGGCAATAATTTGATTGTGTTATTATTAGCTGTTATAGTTTTATATTGATAAAATCAAATATTTACAATTTGGAATTATGTTTCGGTTCGAAGTGTCGGTTCTAAATTTGTGTTTAACCAACAGTTTTCCTACGTGACCCCCAAACAATGAAATTCGTCCAAGGCGTTATTTCAACCAAAAATGCTCAGTTTAATGAATCCAAAAACTATAAGCAGACCTGCAATTTTCGGTTCACTAGTGAAGCCAAAATTCAATTCGTGTCGTTTGAATATTAAAAAACGTCTAAAGGATTTACAGGTGAGCGATAGTAGAAATAAATCGGAATGCGATATTATTAATATTGTTTCGGCCCGGAGGACACGTGAATCCGGTGTTCTTAATAATACATCAAAGAATCGAGCTCGAAAGAAAGCATTGAAACCAAAGCCGATTACTATTCCGATGGAGAAAAAAATCGTTGGCTCCGAAACGGAACTAAAATCGGCACCATATCCAAAAAAGTACGATGTAAAAGAAAACGAAAAACCGATTCGCCGACAACATCACGGACTGTTCCAAATAAATCAAATAGCGACGGACACAAAACCATGCCAAGGAAAAACGTTGAACAATTACGGAAAACAGAAGACGATAAAACGTCGAGTAATGGTAATTCACGATAAAGGTGATAAAGGCGAACTGTCGGCCGACCCGTGTACTAAGACAACAAAACTGTCAAAACCAAACGATTGTAGTTCGACCGACGGACAGAAAAAAGTACTGTACAAATGTGTTGCAGACGGAGTACCGCCACCGAACGATTTTGAAAAGACCATTAACCCGGTTAGCACGCGTAATAAGAACTCACAAGAATCGGCTGGATCGGCTACACAGAAACCGAAACGGCCTTGCAGCGAAAAAAGAACAATTCAACAGCAAATGCTACATCGGGAATTAATAATTATTAAATAACGTTTAATGTTAAAATGACACGAGTTGAAATTTGGGTTCACTAGTTTACCGAAAATTGCAGGTCTTCTTACAGTTTCGGATTCAATCAATTGGGCGTTTTTGGTTGAATTAACGACGAATTCCATTTAATGAACGCTTAAGAATTTCCGTGTGAGCGAATGGTGGAAACAAAGCGGAACGGGATAGTAGAACGGGTGTAGGAACATTGGTTTATCTAAGAGAACACACGAATCCGGTGTTCTTAATAGTACAACAAAGAATCGAGCTCGAGAAAAAGTATTAAAACCTGAGCAGATTACTATTCCGAATGCGAAAAAAATCGTTCGCCCCCGAATCGGAACTAAAATCGGCACGATTTCCAAAAAAAAAAAAAAGGTTCTCCGGCAATATCGCGGACTACTATAAATAAATCAAATAGCGATAAAACGATGAAACGATGCCAAGGAAAAACGGCGAACAATTACGGAAAACAGAAGACGGGAAAACGTCGAGTAATTATAATTCACGACTAGATGAATTCTGAAATCGAGATAAAGTTAGCGCGTGCAATAACAACAAAAACTCGCGAGAATCAACTGAAAACAAACGGTAACTTGGTGGCAGACAAACAATCAGGTGAATGTTTCTCGTGAAATGGCCTAATTGGATTTTTTCGAAAATATAATTTTTTTTAAATAATCTCAATACGTTCTACGGTTGTTTTGTATTTGTTTACCAGCGAAATTAGAATGTCCGATTCTGATGCGGTAAAATTAGCGGACCGATTAAGCGCCGTTTTGGAATCGATAATAAAACAATAATAATAATAATATACGACGCATAATGTATATAATGTTATACGAATGTCGAGTAATAGCAATAATGTCATGCAATCTATACAGTTTAAAACTGAGAATAATTAGCGATAACAGTTTACTAAAATAAATTAAAAATGTGATTTGGGCTCGCCCATTGGTGATAACGTGAAATATGATGATGACATATTTCACCAACTATAGCCGTACCAATTATTTAAGACGAAAATTTTGAAAATATTGCACATTTCGTCATTAGTCTGATTGGATTCGTTGGTTTAGTCGATTAACTAATCGTACACTAACCGCCTACTGTACAACTTCAAAATTTGATCACTGATTTGCTAATACCTTTGGACAAATATAATTCTATATTTTTTATCTTGATTTAATCAAAATTAATTACTTTTTAAAATTGTTTCACTTGCTTAATTTCGAATTATCAATTGTAAATATTTAAACCGTATATGAATCAGTCTTGAGAAACCGGATTTTTTGTGCGAAAAAAAAAATTTGACATTGAAAGGTTATATTGGCCGTGTTTTTTTTTTTTTTTTTGCTATTTAAACCATATACATTGCAGTATATTCAGTGGTATGGAGTAGAATTGTCTCTATTAATATAACAATGGAAAATAATAGAAGAACTTACTTATTCCATAACTTTGTACCTAACATTATAAAATACTACTACAATTGTTTGCAACATTATCTGTTACTTTTGCTACACACTAGAACGAAAATTGTTGACGTTAAAGGTCTTAAAAGTCAATCTCGAGATTAAAAACCTACTTACGGCCTATTATGTCCCAAGGTAGACTAAATAGATTGACAATGTAATATATATATTTTTTTTAAATTGTATTTATTAAGATAACGAGCTGGAGTCCAATTTACAAAAGTTCCATAACCCGGTTTTCGTCCCGGCCGCTCAACCTGTAATTTAGTTTTTAGTAACTTTATATACAAATCATGAGAAGCAGGGTCCCAGGTAGATGTAGATATACAGACTTTAAAAAAGCGTTTGATACTGTGAACCATCGTGTCTTCATTAAGATTCTCGACAAATCTGGTTTCGGTGAGTCACTGTTAACCTGGTATAAACATCATTATTCTGTTCCCAATTAAATGGTTTTGTACAAATCGGGGTCCTTGATACATTTTAGTTGGTTGTAGATGTTTAAAGGTTCTTCGCTAAGTCTACTTAAAACGTATTTTGATTGTTCTTCATTAAATTACTGACATTCTAATAGTAGATGTTGATGGTGATTTCAGTACTGCAAATGGTGCATGGTTCAGGTTGTTTTTTCCATAAGATGTTTATGAGTAAGCCAAGTGTGTCCTATTCTTAAGCGCCTCAGTATGTTATCCTATTTTCTGGTTAAATTTAGTGGAATAATCCAACTATTTTTGGTATGTCTTAATTTCCTTAATTTGTTGTCCCTCAGTAAGTGTAGTAAGTTGGTTATGGTATTTTTGGCTTCTCTTTTGAGATCATCTTTGGAAAACAGTAGAATAGTTTCAATGGTTTGGTGGTCACTCATTGCTATGTTTTTTTATTTAAAAATGTTATTTTATTAAAATTACAATATATTTCTCTATTACTCTATATACACTCAGTTTTTTAGTGAATAATAGATATGTTTATTATATTTATTAACAAAACTGCAATAAATATACATAACATTTAACAAAAAATGATATAATTAAAACTAAAAATAAATATCTCAACAAAATTTTTTTTTTTTCAAATAGCTTTTATTTAGTATAATATAATAAATATTTAAAATAATATTACAATAACTTGTAGTTTAAGAACAGTCTACAATTAATTTATTACTGAAATTAACAAGACTACTCTAAAATGTATTCACTGTAATAATATATTTTATAAACAATATTTTTCAAATCTATATAGACAATTTACTGCATAATGATTTTCAAAATTTTCAATATTTATTAATGAAACCAAAAAAAAATTGTTCACTTTGTAAGTAAAAAAAAAAAAAAAAAAAAAGGATGTTAACATAAATTCAACTGAACATATTAATCTGCTAAAATTAATGCACAAAATTAATTTTAATCTAATCATTATTCATTACAATTTTTTTAATAAATCAAACACTAAATTACATAATAAAATGTTAATAATTTTGAAATCTTAAAATTATACAGACTAATGAAAATCGAATATGTTTTAATATGAGTTTTATCCACTTCATTTTTTAATAGGCTAGTAGATCAATATATTTAAATAACATGTATTCCTTTGAGATTTTTATATCATATGGATTAAACTCAATATTAATTAAAACTATGTATACATACATACATACTATAAAAACAAACCAAAGATTGTGACTTTAATAATTCTTTATGCGTGTTAGAAAACATTAATGTTTATTGCCATTAACTCCTGTGTTATAATTTAAGACAAAAAAAAAATTTATAATGTTATAATAAAAATAAAATATTTAATTTTTTTTTTTATTAACAACGAGTAACTTTACTATTATATGAAAAATAAACCAATGAAATAATCATGGTTAACAATTTAATGTACTTAAATTAGATACTCAAATAAAAATAATTTCATTAATTTTTAGTTTTTATATTACACTGAAGCAATGTAACATTGGCAAATTAAATTTTAACACATACTTTTATAAAAAAAAAAAACCAGTCTAGAGATTGTGGTAAAATAATTATATATTACATGGATAGTCAATAAAAAAAGCTACATCATAAATTATAACACATTCTTAAATTGTGCAAGTCTATATTTGTAATCCCTAGTTCATTAATGTTACTTGTTTAAATAAATGTAGTTTCAGGGGAAAAAGTTTTATTTCATTATTTAAATAATTTAAGTACACTAAATTGTTCATTATTGTATTGGAAAACTATTTATTAAATAACGCAGTGTGTACAGCATCTATATCGTATGTGATATATGCTGAAGGTTTAAATATATCAGCACTGCGTGACGGCATTCTACGATTAGCGCTAAGAAAAAAAAAAAAATAAACTTTACATTAATTTGTTTCCACAATTATGATTAAAAACATATTGTGATTAGAAAATGTAAGCACAAGGGCAATTTTTTTTTTGTAGTAATATAAATTACCCAGATAATATTGATCCAGTGCTAGTACTAGGATTCCTCACCATGTCACATTTCATAGGTCTTCCGTCGAGCTGTCTATTATGATATACATCTACTGCCTGGATAGCATCAGCGCGACGCTCATATATAACTTCTGCAACACCTGGCCGAACTACTCTAGATTCAAATAAATCGCCAATGTCAGCAAAAAGTTCCTAGAAAAAAAAGTTAAAAATTTAAATATAGAAAACAGTTTGAAAATAACTTTGCAATATATACTCTTATATCTTCAGATGTAACAGATGGTTCTAAATTAGATATAACAATTTTATGACCAACTGGACACACACGTTTAGCTGCAATAGCTGCCATTTGATGAGAATCTAATCTTGAACGTAGTGTTTCACTTATTCCTCTATGATTTCTATAAAAAAAATCAACATTATTTTCTCAATTAAGCTATTGCTTAATATTAAAGTTTAATTTAATTTAATGCTATTTCAAAATAAATAAAACTGAATTTAGCTAATATTAATAATAATATTACCTAGTTGTTGGTACATTCGGACAGTTTATTATTAGTTATATTTAAAAGAATTAATATATTATTTTTAATTAACAATAACTTTAATATTTTACCTTCCATTTCGATCTGATAAATCATCATGATATTCATCAGCACGATTGAAAATCGTGTTTCCCAAATTTCTTCTCATTAACTAAAATATTAACCATATATTTCAATTCATTCAGAAATGATAATTAAAATCATAAAATTGAATTCAATTTACTGGGCTTGGTGAATATCTGTTAGGTTCTTCCCAATCCATTGCATCTTCAAAGTCCATTGCTGCCATTGGTCTATGATATGGTTTATCATTAACTCTCATGGTCCTTATAGGACGATCTGATGGTCGTCGTATAGTCTGTGAATTTGATACCGGGTTTCTTGGCATCCTTGCATCACGTCTCAATGGCCTAACATCCTCAATAGATCTATCGCCTATTAATCAATAAAATGTGTTTAAGCACATAGTCAATAACAAAAGCAAATAGAAATTAAATATAGTAAATAAATATGTAAAAAAAATATTTATATTTAAAAATAAAAAATGAATTAATTAATAAATGAGTTGCTTGGAGTATTATAAGTGTATTATACGACTGGTTTCAAATTAAAAATTCATTATTAGGTAAATCACAGTCAAAATGTATAATACGACTCACATTTACATTTTTACATTTCGACTGTGATATACCTGATGATGAATTTTTAATTTGAAACTGGTCGTATATTACACTTATCATAATATTCCAAGCGATACAACACATTTATTAATTTATTTACGAGTATTAACCATTTTAATAATTTTGCTTTTACTTTATTATTTTATTAAATGGAAATTGTTATACTTCTAAACGTATTCACATCTGAATTGAATGTGTTACTACTAGTACGTCTTCTGTCTAGATCATTGAAACGCCCTTGATTTACGGGCCGTCTATCTCGATATTGATCAGTATAATGTTGATGGACTCTTTCATCTAATATTGACTTGACAGTAAGAATACCGCGGCGATCAATTTTTACACGACTTAAATTATTCGATTGTCCTCTTAACATACCAACATCACGAATAGTCTAATAAAAACATATTATAATCAATCAAAATGTATGTTATATCCTAGTTTAACCTTAGGTTTTAATAACCAGGAGAAGATTGCAAAGTACTATCTTTTGAAAGGGAAACTTAGAAACAATTGTATTAGATGGGATGGTCTTAAAGGCTGAACCCAAGAAAAATAAAGAAGAAGGAAGGTTTTAATATGGTATTCTCGATTGTATTACACAATTCAACGAGAAAACACTAGAAATTACAAAACGTTCATATTTTTAAACATAAAAATTTGTTTCTAGATATTAATTTATTAGTAGCTTCAAACATAATATTAATATATTGATATATAATATAGATAATATATTTAGAAACAATTCTAGTTATACTACTGCTTAGACTGTAAGGTTAAGTTTAAATAATTAGGCAAACCATAATTAATTATAGTGTAAAACCAAACAAATAACTATAAATCTAAATTCTAAATGAAACTACAGTTATTTTTAAATTAATTGTAGTTACTATTGATAAAGTATAGTGTTGAATAGTTTTCAACCAAACATGATGACAAAATGTATTTAAAATTAGAAATCAGGACGCATCATATAGAAAAGATGCCAAACACATTTTAAATGTAAGCTTGCACATATCCTGCCTAAACATTAATTGTTCAGAGCCAACAATATACATAAAAAAAAAATTCATCCTAAATTGCTTTTTTTTGTATTTATTTATTAAAATTACCTAATGTTGAGCATGATTATTCATACAATTATTTCCATTTTAATCTATTGATTGTTCATTAATTTATCTCCAATTCAATTTTAAATTCCCAAACACATTACCTTTTCATTGTTTCTCTATTTTTTTATTCCAATCCATAACTCATCAAAGTCAAAACTTATGATACCTATCATCAAATAATGACTCCTTTTAATCTTAATTAACAATCACCTGGGGTAATATAATACCCCATTTACTAAATTTATTTTTTAAAATTACTAATTGTATATCTTTGTATATTTTAAATATATATATATATACCGTTATATTGCTAAAGTTTGGACAGTGATGTAACTGTGGACTTTAAATGTTTTTTTCAATAGTTTTGTTAACACATAAAAAAAAAATTTTTTTTTTAAATACATTTCTTTCCATGTATTCAAATAAATAATCTTTATAATAAGGTTGATAAATTGATAAGAAAATATATGTATATGAAAGTTTATTTGATTCAAAGAAAACAAATATTTGTCATAAAATGTGGCTACTTTGTGAAAAGCAAGTGTGCACTCTTATTACTTTAGTCCATATCATTCACAGTTGACGTTAGAACATTAAAAATTAAAAATAAATATTTAAGTACACAAGTTATTGATTTTTAATTAAATTTTTTATTTATTGTTTCAAGTTTGAATATAACAATGGGAATTACGAAAATATGTAATTGCGAGAGGAAATATGATACGCATGATAAGATCACGTGGGGATTAATATTGTATTTTAAGTTTAAATCATTTTGAAATAGGTGATTTTATTATGGCAACTAAGCGAATGAAAAAGATTTTATGTTGGCCAAATAAAAAAAAATTAAAATGTCAAGTTTAAAATTAATTTTATGAGACGCCAACATAATAGTAAAAGAATGTTCATATTTCCAGGTATTGAAGATAGAGACAATATAGAACGTCATGACAAATGAGGAGTAACTTCAGACAGCTATATATATTAATTTTAAGTTAGCAAAATCAATATTTTTAAAAAAAGTTTTTCTTATATTGTATTAGAAGTATCAACACCTAAAAACTGGCATAAGAATAATGAATGTTATTAAAGAATTTTTTATGAATGAAATAGCTTAAAAATCGTTCAAATTTATGCCATATGATGTTATATATATTATAATTATGACAAATAATAATCTTGAATGTACCTATATATTATGCCAAGTTTTCAGAACATTTTTAAAAATATTTTACACATAATTTCATATCAAAATTATTTTTACATTAAAAATTAAACATATTTAGTATGTCTAGGGTATTGAGCTACTCGGCGGCAACTATCAAATGGTGAATTATAATTCAGTTTTATTTGTATGTTTTTTTTATCTTTTATTCTTCTCCCTATTTCATTTCCATCCATTCATTCCATTCATATCATTAGCCTGTATCAATATTTATTTTATACCAATTATTTTTATTCGAATATCATACATTTTACCATCAAAATGCTTTGGAATAATGGATAAATCTGAATAAAAGGATGTACACAAATTATTTATTCCCAATTACTTACATTGTGTCCTGAAGAATGTAAACGGCGTTCCTGTATTTTCTCACGGGCATCCTTTTGTTTTGTTAATTTTTGTCTAGCATCTACCATTGGTGTAGGTTTATGTAATGCCTTTTGCAAAAGTTTTAAACGAGCATCAACTACAGTATTTTTGACTACTCTACTATTATTATTTGCCAACATTTTCCTGTTGTTGACTCGACCACTTCTAGGTTGATTTTTTACGACTTTTAATCGCTTTACTTTTGCTGCTTTATTGGCTGCGGCCAGGCGCAATCGATTACGAGGACCCGATTGCAAAGCTCTTGAACGTCTGAAATTACAATTTTACTAAATCCATCACAAATTCGTTTTGAATAAAACACATATTATAGGTAGGTATTATTTTAAACTTTCAATCACTTATTTAGTGGGATTGGTTTAATCACAGCACAACAAAAAGTTACACATATAAGTAGGTATTTATAATTTACCCTCCACGGTCTCGGCCATTTTGGGGTTTCTTTCCTCTTACGAACTTCATGTTATTTTCTTGTCACTGTAATAAAACACCAACGACCAATTGATTTGAAACACGAACTAAGTGTCTAATCAAGAATATTAATGTCAGCCAACTATATGAACTGCAAACGCCAAACGGGTGATGATAAAACTAGAAGTTGATGACTTATAAATATTTAAGTAAATTAATCAAAATCAAATAGTTAGTCCGGTGATTGGAACATACACGGACAAAAATTTATGTGAAACGAATTAACATATTCGCTGAATAAAATCGAAGAAGGGTCTCTTACTCGCGACTTGTGAGGGATAAAATGTTGATAGAAAACAAACAAGACGGACAGACGGTACATCAGTGTGGCCAATACAATTGGTTATAATTTTACGCGAATTTAAGATAATAAATGATATTATTTATATATTTTAGTGAAGTACAATATCAGAAAATAACAAAACCCTATACAAATATTATATATTATATTTTGCTAGATTACTTATTAAAAATTACACAGAATATAAAAAAATTAATTTCGCAGAATATGAGCATAACGATTATGACATATTCCGAAGTTGGTGTCGCTTAAATAATTATTGTAACCGTGGTTGCAACCATAATGAAAAGTATAATCTTTTATCATGGTTGCAACATAGATATTAGAAACAACAATCGTCTTTTAATTTCTACATAATCATAATTACTAATTTTTGTTAACGTCAAAGGTGAAAGATTAAAATAGTAAATTCCTAAAACCTACTATAAATATTAACAATATATCTTAAAAAATTAAAATTGTATAGTACCTATGTGAAATTTCTCTCAAGAAATTTCCAATCGATCGTTTTCCCTCCTAGAAATCTTTAGTCTTTATTTTTGTTTGATGAAATAATTTCCATAGCTAAAACAAAAATATTAATAGGTACTAATTAAATTATATAACATAACTGAAACAACTCACAATATACTGCATGCGATGAAGTGCATTTATAGTTTAAATTTGGGTTAAATGTCGAATATAAATGCATAAAAAAGCACTTCATCAGTAAAAAAAACCCACAGGATTTTTGGTATTTACAGTCAGAAAATAGGAAATTATTAAAAATTTGATAACGCTTAAATAGGTATGATACACAGAGAGTTTGGTTGTTGAATCATTTACATTTAATCTATTTTGTGGCTGCATCGAGATAGAATATAAACAATACAATATTATTATATACAGATTAGTGTTCACTGCTGTTAGTACCTAAATCTATCTTGATGGGTAGTTGTTCGAAAAATGAAAAGATAATTCTGAAATAATGGTATTGGTATTATTTATTTTTTTGTACAATATTAAGTTGCAAGAACAATAACAACAACGTTGAGAAAAACAATAGTATAAACAATAGATAAATAAATAGTATACATTACTTCGATTGATTATAGTACCTATACTACTTGCTGGGTAAGGTTTATAGTTAGTTATAGTATTATCTATAAATCTTGCTTGCTAAATACCTAATTTACATAAAGTACGCATACTCTTTATTATTCATGTATACCACAGTATATACGAGTAATAAAGTAACTTTAAAGCATAGAACTTATACTTATAAACGGAACATCCATATCCATTGACTTAATATTGTATAAAGTCAGTGTCCGTATCATTTCCTGTAGGACGGTGCAGATGTGCATTCATAATAAAAATAATTATTTCTATCATTCATTGGTACAGTCAAGAGAAGTAAATTTAACGCTCAGAATCGTTTTTCGTTAGCAATGGTTAATCGGTGCGTAGAGATATATGATATACCTACATTACATTTTCCCTCTACCTTCCCAAAATCCCAACTTCTCACTTAAAACGTTGGCCACCTATCGTGCGAAGTAAATCCGTATCTTTTTTTTTTATACATTTAACTAAATAAATAAAACTAGTCTGTATAATTACTTTTTTTCCTCCGTTAAAATCGATATGGTCTTAAAAAGTTAAAAACAGTTGATTGCTAGATTCATATTGATGGTTGTCGGATTATACCGTAGTCCATAATTGGTAATCACACCATCTTAAACCGTGATATAAAAGTACATTCTTTATCACGATGAACAACAATGATAATTGATAACATGAAAAATGGTTTTATTAGTTTTTATTTTTATTATCATAAATTTGGTAAATGTATTATGTAAATACCTATAAAAAAAAATGTACTAGTAATTATACTTAGTATAAGTTTTTCTTTGCCTACTGCTTAGTACATTTTATAAATTTACAATATATTATAAATTCTACATCGCCAAATTGGTTCTGAGTTATTAAATATGTGCTTGAAACTGTAACAAAGATGTACTATGATTAACAAAACGCAAAAAAAATTATATTATTATGATCAACCTAATAAAGTTTGAATTAAATTTCTGAACAGATTCTTATACAACAGATGAAATGAAATGTTTGTAGATTGTTCCTTAAACTCACTTCTTGGGCATATTATCATTATTATTCAGGTGACTGACAAGATTGGCGAAGAATCTCATTTGAAAAAGATTTAAAGTTATACAGTTTGCATACAAAAAGTAACATGATAATTACCTTAAAATTTAATTCCAAGGTATAGAATTTAATTTGTTAAATAATTTTTTTCTTTATTATAATATTTGTGTAACACATGCAATTTGTTTTAGCATAACAAGTTAAAAACATTACAACAAAAAGTTGAAATTGAACAAAAATTGCATTTTCAAAAAATTTTAGAATGCTTAAGTCATTTGGGAATGGCAGTTGGGTAAAGTATTAATTTTATTTTAATAAGTTTTAATTATTTACTATTTATATAACAGTTTACTTGGTTGAAAGCTTTAAATTATTTACACTGATAAATACATTAGATGAAAACTAAATTAAATTATATATTTATTTTATTTAAATTCAAGAATTTAAACCACTAAACATTTTAATGAATCATTATGATGTTGCCATATTATGTGATTTTGCAAAGTTTATGTTGATCAGTACACAAGTATTAGTTCAAGTATCGCTTAAAGAAACACCTCTTGATATGGCACCTGAAGTTTTAATTCCTCTATTATACCTACAACGGTTCCAACATACAATCACAAAACAATATGGTATAAATATATGATCAATAAAATAGATAGTGTTTAGGGAAAAATAATGTATATATATTTGTTTTTATTAATTAATTAAAGAAATTAAACAATTTAGGTCTTAGAAATGTGTAGCATATCATTGTGGAAAACTAATATTTTACTTACAATTTTTGTTGCCTTTAGTCCAATTGATGAAAGATCAGATCTGTTTGCGAGAACTTTTTGGAGCATCCATTCAAAAAAGAAATCTATCAGAAAGATTAAGAAGGTCTGGTCTATTAGAACATGAATTACAACTGATTCTTCTACCAATCACGACGAGTATAGAAAACATGTAATAATTCCTTTTAATTATAAATTATATATTCAAATTGTAATATGCAATGATTATGTTTTAATTTTTGAGTAGAACTAAAGAAGACCTACATTCTAATCACACTAACTTATGTCTTGAAACTTGTAAGAAGTTAGATGTTGGCTCTGATCAAACTATATGAATAATAATACCAACACCAATGATTTTAAGAGTATTAATTGGATTGTATTTTTATGCAAAATGTATTTGAGGTAAAATTTGAATTTTTATTATGTAACTACCTGTGCTTTTGACTATACTCTTGTTGTTTTGATTTTTAATCTCAATTACAAACATTAAATTGTAGTCTAATTGAAAGATGCAAAATATCAGTTTAAAAACAACCCATCTTATATCACTTAGGTCGTTCTTCCCTAGAACCAAAGATTAAAAAAATTATATAATTATAGTTTTATAATATTAAACATAATATTTTCTTTTAGATAGAATTACAAATGCTAAGCTTCATAAATTACTTAGAAATAATAAAGATTCATCAGTGAGAGAAGAAATGTGTCCAAATATTCTTACCATCAAATTCTTACTAATGACATGACATTTTTAAAAGATTGTCCATATCCTAATGTTATCCAGGCATATAATAATTGAGTTTTATTACATGTTTCTGTTTGGAAATATAATGTGATTCAAGTTTTATCATTTTAATATTAAATACATTATTTAACTTAAATACCTGACATTGAATATCAATTATAATTGTTTTGATGATTGTTGTACAATTTAATATGCAAGTGATGTTCATCATTTTTTTATGTGTCAGTTATTGTTCTATAACTTTGTAAGTGTCTAATTCTTTATTTGTCCAAGAATATAATATTATAGTATGCCAATAATTTATTTGATAAAAACTAATTTTTAAATTGTTTTCAAAATTATAACTGTTTGGAAAATAAAAAAAATATTTAGTCAATTAATGAAAACATTTTTAATTAATATTATATTTTAATGAATAAAGAGGGAATATAAAACAATTACGTAAAATTATTATATATTTTTTTTGAATACAAATATAATTCAATAATGAACTAATAAAAATAAATTGTTAAATTCTATAAAATGATTCAAATTTTAGATTTTGAGTAGAGTGAGAAATGTATTAGTTTTACAATGATGTTTCTTTTTTTTACTGTACTTTAGAGAGGTCATTTTTTGAAATTCTCATTAATATTCAAAATAATGAGGAAAACCTTGGTCTTTAAGTTAAAAAGATTGAAAGATTAAAAATGGTTTTTATTTATTTTTTTATTATTATTAACTTTTTATTATTTTAATCTTTTTTAAACAATTTAAACAATCATTATTGACACATTGTTGTAACCATTTTACAATAATATGATATTAACCATGTATTGTATTGTTGACAAAGGAACACTGTTAACTGTACTCCGCTCAGAATCATTTTTTCATTACCAATGGTTTATCGTTGCTTACAGATATACATTAAATTTCTGTCTGTATCCCATCTTCCCAACTTCCCACCTCCAACAGTGGCTGCACCCATGTGCAAAGTATGTCTGTTCTTTTTAGATATTGTATTTATTAATTCGTAATTATTGTTAAATAGTTTTGCTATTCAGTTGAATTTTATCAATAAAAGTAATCCTGGAAGTTCAATACAATAATTGTATTAGTCATGTTTGAAATTGATATGTATCCATTATATAATTTCTCTGATTATTATTAAGGAATAGTACAATGTTCATAATGACTAACAACAAAAATAAAATAGCTTTCTGAAATCTTTAACAATAATCTTATGCAGTGGTGGATTTATGGGGTGGGGTCCAGGGGAGTCTGAACCCCCCTCAAACACCAAAATAATTTCAATACAATTTTGTCCAAAAGAGGGGGCATCTATTAATACAGATACCTTTTAAATACATATGACTTTTCCAGACCCTTCTTAGAAAAATATTAAAAATCCACTACTGATCTTATGGCTTTGATTATTTATACATATTTATATATTTCATATATTTATAAACTTTATTTATCAAAATTTATTAAAAATGACTATTTTTATTTTAGATTGCTATTTATACAACAGAACTGGTGAAGGAAACACAGTTTTACAATGTGGAAACAGAACATTAAGATTAAACATATTATTTACATTTATTAGGTCTGTGTAACATTTTAAGTGTTCTAAAATATTACTTTTTGTTATTTATAAAATTCAAAAATGTAGGTGTATACATTTGTATTGCAATTAAAATATATTATTGATTATAAAAAACAAAAATAAATATGAGGCGAATTCTTCTTGAAGATAAAATCTGATTTGCATTAATGTGCAAACATAATCACAAGGAAATTATGAAAAAAAATTTTAAAGAAGAAATTTTGCTTTAGAAAAAATATTTTTTTTTGCACTTAAAAATGAAAATAAAATAATAGTAGGTATTATAAATATTATATTTATCTCAATTTTTATTTGACATGGATGTATAAAATTATAAAGGGTGTCCCACAAAAATTTGCCACTTAAAATAACTTTTGTTCTACTCAATATTTTAAATTTTTTTTTAATTAATAGTAAAAGCATACTAAAGCACACCCTAAAGTTAATATATTTAAAAAACAAACTTTTGGTGTGGGAAATTAAAATAAAAAATTTTTAATTTCACTGTAATTTTTTTACATAAATTCAAAATAGATTTTTGGAAAATTTTTGGTGGTTGAAACTTATAGGTTTAGGTATGGTCTTTTATTTTCTACAATTTTTTGAATTATTGGCAAATTTGAATATTATTGTGGTTTATAATAATAAACTATAACTATTTATTATAATCTATTATAATATTTAATCAATAATAAAATAATAAAGTAAAAACAAAATTATTAAAATGGTTAATACACGTAAATAAATATATAAAAATAAAATAACAAATTAATGAATGTATCGCCTAGAGTATTATGATAAATGTATTATACAAATTAAAAATCCATCATCAGGTATATTACAGTCAATTTGAGTCGCGTTTTACATTTTGACTGTGATATACCTAATAATGAATTTTTAATTTGAAATTGGTCGTATAATACACTTATTATAATACTCCAGGCAACGCATTGATTCATTTATTATTTTATTTGTATGTATACATTTTTCATTTATTATATTTATTTACTTTATTTAATCAATATTTAGTAATATTTCTACATGATATTAACTCATGTAAAATAAAATCCTTGTCATTTGATGAGCTGTGACTTCTAATTAAATATTGTAATAGATTATAAACCACAATAATATTAACATTTGCGAAAATTTCAATAAATTGAAGAAAATAGAAGTTTCAACCACTAAAATTTTACTTTAAAAATAGGTATTTTTAATTTTTTTTAAAATATTATAGTATAAAATTTTAAATGTTTTTTTAAGTTCCCCACTTCAAAAAAATAAAATTATATATTAACTGTATTGTAGAAACATACTAATTATTAAAGAAATACAAATATTCAATAGAACAAAAGTTATTTCAAGTGGCAGATCATCTTGGGACATCTGTAAGTCTGCATACATATGCCTATGATATATATATGGATGTATATGTTTTTATACAAGCAATGAGCTAGCATCTTAAAGCGGTATTTACTGAACTACGTAATCTGTTGTGTTGTGTGGATATTATGATTTATAATGCACACTATAAATGTTGAGCTCTGCCTAGCTTTGGATTATTGATCAATATCGTGTTTAAAACTTTCAGTGGCCAATCAGAGTACGATAAATGGCACAAGCCACGGCAGATGACATAACTTTGATACCTCCTTCACAAATAAAAAAAAAAACAGCAGTTAATAAACAAATAAAATGATACTCTAATATTCTTAAGTATCTATACACAGTGAATAGTTTACTTAGTATAACACATATGTATGCCATTCAAATTATATAAAAAGAATAGTAACAAAAAATATAAAATTCTAGAAAATTAAATACAAACTTTTGTAAAGAAATGTATAATATATAATTAACATTGTTACAAACTATTTAACAAAAAAAAAAAAATCTAACGATTAACATTCAAAAATAAAATGATAAGTAGGTAATTAATTTGCATTTGAATGAACTAAAACTTTAAAAATAAATTGTTCACAATTAAGATAAGAAAGAAATAATATTTTTAGTTTTATTCCGGACAAAAATACTTAATTCGTTCCACAATAATCAAATAGAACATACAATAATATATGGCACACTGTATACATTTGAATAGAAACCTAGAATTATTTAATTAAAAACATATCTAGTTAATCATTTAAATAGTTTATTTGGTTTTGATGCATTTAAAATCCATACAAAAACATTATAACATAACATAACTCTATTATATTTTGCTATAATGAAAAGGTATAGCTATCTACACTTGAAAATGTACTTGTGGTAATCCACGAGTATGCCCTCGTTATTTTAACAACTTTATTTACGAAATGTTCAATCGATGTTAATATTCGCGCTTTTGTAATATGATATTTTATGGCATTTGAATTTTAAAATGTGTATAAGTGATACTTGAAAAATGGGACCCGAATATGTTTTTTTGGAATTAAAACAATTAATTCATATTTGATAGACAGAAGATTGAGATAGTAAGCAATACAACTAAGTATTTGAGTGGAGGCAGAGGAGCCATTGTATACTGCAATAATTTAGTGTCAGAAACAACCAGGTATACTTTTTTTTTGAGATTTCAATTATATTTTTACTCATAGTATTACAAAGCAATACAGGAATAATAATTAACAACAAGTATGAATATAATTGAAATTGAATATATAACTGTGATCATAAAATGAATCATAAACAGTTATATATAAAAATAATTTTTCTTAATTGATCATTCTGAGTAACTCACTATAGCTCATTTCATACAAAATCTAGACATTACACAAATGAATTTCATTGTTTTGTTTAAACTTATAAATATTTACTAAATGCAATGGCTTCACCGGCTTTACTATTTGTTTGAAGTGGAATGCATGGGATGCAGTGAAGGATACAAGAGGGGTGATGTCATGGCGGTCACTCCCCTTTGGGTCGTTTTTTTTTGTAATTCTTGTATTATATAATAATTGTTTACATAATATATACTTTTTTTAATAAAATCCACCTCCTTTGAACAACCCTAGGATCCGGCACTGCCTATTATCGCAAAATCATGGTATATATTTTGCATTTTTATCAACATATATTTTCATTAAAATTTGAACTTAAAGCGCTTACAAAACAAATTACTACAATACGTTGAACATTTTTCATATAATTGAAAAATTTCCAGACTGATTTGAAAATCGTACAATGTGTTGAAAGGGCTGTATATAACACTAGGTACTTGTACCTATAATTTTTATAATAAATATTTTATCAATTCCGAGCACTGGCCGGTACGATTTGTCTGTTACATATCGGTTCAAATTGTAATTTAATAATAACAGAGACATTAGTATTGGGAAAACAGTGGGACACTTTGTATAACTGCTATAAATAACTGATAAAATAAAAAGTTCGACGGGGGTCTGTGGCCCCCTAGTTACAGCACATCACTGCGATTAGCTCAACGAGATTTTCTCAGTAGCCAATTGTAGATGGTTCTGCCAAAACGTAACGGTCATAGTGCATTTGTTGAATGTATCAGCTTTGAAGCTCCGAAGCTTTGTGATTCCGCGGTCCTTACTCATTTTTCGTCGGGCTTCGGTTGCGACTTGCGAGTGTTAAGCTTGTCTGCGTATAGTGTAATATTTTATTGTGTAGTGTTTCTTTTTCCTGGGGTGTCGTTCGAGTTCGTAATTTTTTTCCGTTTCTCTATAGCCAATATTTTATTAAAATATCGTCGTTAATATTATCGTGTTGGTGTACTGGTGTTCCTCGTCAAGGCTCAAGATTGAAAAGTTTCGGTGTTAAATATACAGCGCCATTAGAGACTGTAACAGTAAGTTCTCAAATTGTTTCACATCTCAACGTCTACTCTAGAAGGCTCCGGTAAGATAAGGAATACACAAATTTCAAAACAGGAAGTTCGCTTTCACGTAGGATTTGGTTCGCTTTAATAACAGAGAGCGCCATTGTGGTGTTGCGATAGTCATGATAGCGTTCACTGTAGACAGAAAACCCATTTTTTCCCCTTCTAAATTTGAACATATACTTCATGAAATACGACTATACGAGTATAACAACACAACACTAAATAACGAAATCGAACAATTAAAATAAATAGTAGGTAGCAACATAGTATCTGCCAGCAGTGACGACACAAACAATTTTGATTCGGGACAGCACAATTTTTTTCAACCCACTTAGGTACCTTGGAATAATGATACCGAAACGGAGTTTTCGACATTAATTTCGTTATTTTATTATACTTATACGTTATCATTGGTATCCGGACATTTTCCCTTCGACTATTGTCGGTGTAACAGGACATTTTCCTCGTACATTTTTTGATGCAGACATTTTCATTTGGAAATTATAAAATTGTATTATTTATTATTTAAATTAATATAAATTTTTTTTTTATTATTACTTTATATTTATATTTTTTACTATTTGGATATTTAAAATTTTAATTCAATGTTCACAATTTTGGATATTACTGTTTCATTATGACCTCTGAATGCAATGTTTTACCCAGCTAAAACTATCAAAACTTTAATAATAACTCTTAAGAATTTCTCTATGATGTTTGGTATGAAGTAGTTTGAATCTCATCTGATATTTTTGGAATATAATCCATGACTTATATCAGCTTGTAGATAACTCATGCATAAACCTACTACTAATAAGTTATCATAGTGGTATATGCATAAGTTTCTAAGTTTCTTTTCAAATGTTTCCATTTATATTTTAACCCTTAAATAGATTCACCAAATTTTTGTCTATGACAGTTGTTCCAAAAAATTTCAGTCAAGCTATCACTGGTAAGTGCAGTCCTGTAAGTTTTTTAGTTAACCGTTGTATCGATAGGTATTTTGTTCTTTTAATAAATCTGTAGGATTTTTGTCAGATTTAAACCTAAATTAATTTTTAACAATTTATTTCCTATTATTTTTTTGAATATTTAGCTAAATTATTTTCCGATAATTATTTTTAACCCTTCAATTTTTTTCATCTTCACATATTTTATAGATTAGTATACAATTAACAATTTTTTTTATTCTGTTTCAGATTTGGCATAATCAATAGTAAGTCCAAACTGCAGTTACAGATGAGGTGAGTTGATATTTATATTAAACGGTCAACGATTCATTCCCAAATCCTCACAGTACCTATTACTAAAATACAATTTATTTCAATATTGATAAA